AGGAGATTTTCTATTCGCAGAATGATAATTAGACTTAATTTTCATTCTTGGAAGCAAAAACTTGAATTTTTTTTTTAATATTACATCTGCTCAATCGGTACTGTAGTTATGATAATGATAATTTTTTCCAAAGAATTACAATTAAATTAATTTAAGGAGAATAATATCATTTTTATAAAATCTTTGGACCAAGCCAAAATAAAAACTTTACTAATTTCATTCATTATGATGATCGAAACTTTTTTTTTATTTAAATTATATTAATGGATACACATTTTTCTGGTTGAACACAGATAGGTTTTTCCATAAAAAAAAGAAAAGTTTTGTATTGCTTAATACAAATTTTCATCACGAAATTTTCGATGTTTTCAAAATCATCTGCAAATTTACCATTCTTTAATGTAAACGTTAAAAAATGCTGACACTTTTCTGTCAAATTCAGTCTTTCACATGACAATTTTTGTTTTTCTTGTTTACTTATGTCATTATCAATTTCAATGAATTACATCATTGATTTTATTGTTTATTTGTTTCAATTACAATCATTTGACATGATCATCATTCATTATATTGATGACATTATATGATCTTGTTTTCTTGCTTTGTTTGCCTTTCCATTATCATATAAAGGTGTATATGATCATCCATAGTGAAAAAAACAAAACAAATTAAAATATATACATTGTTTTTTTTATTGCTTGTTTTCAATCAATTCTGATAATGATTGTACATTTGCATATGGTTGAATGAATGCATGAATATTACATTATTGATTGATATGTCAATGTGTGTATGTGTGTGTAATATGAGAAATCCTCAATGTTTGATATACAATGTAACAAAAAAAGAAACAACATATCGACAAAATTGTAACATGATCAATTTATATATTGTTTGTTCATCTGTTTATGTAAAAAACAACATCTTTTTTTTGTGAATATTTTATGCATATAGATCAATTTTGATTAATATTGGTCAAAAATTAATAATAATAATGAACTAATTGAATGCATGTATAGTTTTCCATTTTTATTTTATTTTATTATCTATCTTCATCCGATCACTCAATCCATTGTTGATGTGGATATTACATTTGCATTTGCATTAAAACATTATTATTAACATCTTTTGTATTGAATTCAAATCTATCTAGTGGATATCAATAATTGATGATGATGATGATGCGTCACGGATGTAATATATGATTCTTTCGAAATCAATATAATCAATCACTATTTTTTTGCTGTTGCTCCCCTCTCGTTTATTTATTATTAGTATCTTATCCTACACATCAATAATTTGATGATACAAAATAAGCTTGTTCGTGAAAGCAAACGAAAATCATGCCAACATTATAACCATCATTAAAAGCAACCAAAGCAACAACAACAACAACAACATTTTCAATTAATGAATTTGGATTTTCGGATTTGTATTTGGTTTTTGGAAATTTTTTTTCTCTCCATCATACATGTTGATGATAATGATGATGGCATGCTGATTAGCTCATTGCTTGTATAGTTGTTTTTTTTCTCCAATTTCCAATCTCTCTCAATGTTATCAATAGAAAATATTTCAAATGATTATTATAACCTTGTTTAATACTACTTAATTATGATGAGAATTTGAACAGACGTTATTCCGGATAGAAGATTCAATATAAAAGATTAATAATGCCAAACATCTTGGAACCAAAATCAAAATATTTATTAATTATTTTTTTCTTGTTGCTGCGAACAAATTTTCTCCCTCAATTTTTTTCAGGTATTTTCTTATTACAAAAAAAAAATTCAATCAATACAGCATTAAGGTGTATTATTCATTTGCCTGGGCAACAAAAAACAAATAATAGATATTAATAATAATAATAAATAATAATTATTAATATCCAATTGTTTATCATTTATTATTAGTTTTTTTTCCTGTTACCCAGTTATCGATAACATTTTTTCCCTTTTTTTTCTGTTTGTTTCGGTCTTAATTGGTTCATATATTGATCATCATAATGAAAGAACATGAAGAAAAAAATTTACAATACATTGCTTCTATGAGAATTTTTTTTCATCTATTCAATACTTATTTTCTAAGTTTTTGTTTTATTATTGTACCTTATCATCATCATCATCATCATTCATCATTATCATTTTCTTAATCAACAAGAATCATCGATAGTATTCGATAGTGTAGTAGTATTTGTATTTAATCTTATTCTATTCTTGTTTTGTTTTGTTGATTTTTTTCTCTTGTTTTCCGTATCAGGCCAGCAACAAAAACATTGACATAGAATTCGATTAATACCGATTCTGTTTTGTTGTTGTTGTTGGCCATTGTTGTTTCCGTAGTTGATTGCATATACACAGCATGTACTTTGACAATTTTGTATTGCTTAGTTTTCTTCAATCTTATTTTTTTTCTGGGTTTCATTTATAATACTGTAAATATCAACAAACCGTAAACATTTATTCAACAACAACAACAACAACTTTCGAATAAAGATTGATGATGTTTATTTTTTTTACCGTTTCTGATTTTTTTTTGGTTACAAATTTTGTTTTTTCTGCTCTTTCTCATCATTACCATCATCATCATAAATATCGAAAACATTGGTCAGTTTCAATTCTACTTTTTAGGATTTATCACACATCTAATTTTGTTGTTGTTATCAATGAAAAATTTTCACCAGAAAAAAAATACTTGTAAATTGCAATAGAATCTAATAACTACTAGCATCATCATCATCATTCTAACTTTGAACTTTTAATGCTTTTTTTCGTTTGTCTGATGTAATCAAATGCAATCATTCAAGTTATTTTTATTTATTTTTTCATTAGAAACATTAAAACACAAACAAACAAACACATGTATATAGACAAAAATTGAAAATGTTACTGTCAAATAATTTACTATCGTGTTCCCTTTTTCACCACTATAGCGATGACCATAGGAAAAAAAGAGAAATTCTTTGTCCACGAAGCGTGTACAGTGTGCAGTTTTGATATTAAATAGTTTCAAGTTTTATTTTGAAAAGAATTCATTCGGATTTCTTTGAGTGTTTCTTTCTTTCTTTCATTCGTTCATGTCTATTTGATACAGTTTTTACGCTCGATATCCTAGTTGATCCTATTATCAATTTTTTTTATCTTAGTATTTCGTTTTTGCTCTTTTCTCTATCTTTATCTTTAAGCCATTATCATCATCATCATTGCAATTGTTGTTAATGTTTATGTTGTTGTTGTCGTATTTGTTCTGTTTTTATATAGATATTCGAACATAAAAACGAAATTTTTGATGTCAGAATGTGCAAAAAGAATTGAAAGAATAGAAAAATAATCTAGTTTGTTTGAAGATCATACATATAGAATTCATACAATAAGTTCCACTTATGAATCCAGACTTTTTTTTTATCATCATTTAAAACTCTCACTGTTTTTTTTCTCTCTTCACTCAATGATGATTATGATGATGGTAATCAAAATCATTATTGGCTTGCCATTATTATTATCATCATTTTCATCAACAACTACCGCAATATAAACAACAACAACAACAATAACAACAACAGGGATATATCTAGATCCGTTTATATTGTACTTTACTGGTTACCATTATCGTTGTCTTCATTTTTACTTTTACTTTGCTGTATTAATGTCTATTTTATTTACTTTTATTTTGAAATATCAAAATAAAAAATGAAAATAAATTCTGTTCTTGTTGAGAAACTAAATTATTATTGAAAAATAAGTCAATATAAGATTATTATTATTATCAACACCAGCAAGAAACAAAAATTTTCATTAATGTCAGCTTTGTTTTTTCAGCGTTGTTGGTTATAATGATGATGATTTTCATTTTTGAAGTACATGGGGATTCATTTATTTAATTTTTTTTTCGAAAAATGATTTAATTTTCAATTTACTTTTGATTGTGAACAAAAAAAAAATTTAATTTTCAAATACCTTAGTTGGATAGATTTTTTTTCACAATTGAAAAAGCCTCTTTTTTTTTGTTTCCGAATTTATTGATCCGAATTTTTAATAGGAATTTCAACTTTTAATGAAAAAAAAAGCCAAAAGCCATCATGTATGTATGATATTGTCGCCACATCTATAGAATATCGTTTCTTTCAATTCAGTGCCCCTAAACAGTTGGTCTCACTGCATTACATTTTTTTTTCACATTCGCTTCGCTTTTTTCGCCTTCATTGATTACGATGATCAATCATTTTTTCTGAAAATTTCAGTCATTTGATTCACTTTGTTTAGTGAGAAACAAAAAAAATGATATTCAATCAATTAACATTATTATTATATTGAAAGCTACTAAAGAAAAAAAACTATATTCTCTTATTTATCGAACGTTCGTTTGTTCAGACAATGATATGAAACCTGATGGAAAATGCAAATGTTCACATTTTGTGTTGTTTCACATTGACTTCCTTTGTCAAAAAAAAAATTTGTTTTCCCAGTTTCACATTAAACTTTATTATTCATTTAATGTCTTAGAATCGAAAATTAAATTTTCTCTGCTTTTTTTCTTCTTCATGAACCCATGAATGATGAACCCAAAAACACAAAAATTCATTGTCTTCCTTTTTTCACACATTTCCTAACATTCAAAATAGTTCAATGTTAGCTAGAGGCGGTATTTCATTTATATATGACATATACGGGTAGTAATCATTCATTTTTTCTTGTTTGTAAGTTGACAACCGTAGTTTTCATTTCTTTTCTTTGATCATTTTTTTCAAATATTCTTTGTTAACTAGACAAAACCATCAATCTATTCCAAACGGGAGGAAAAAATGATGATTGTCAAATCACAAATGAACAATGATTATCCATTGTATCATTGTGTTAATTGACATTGTCATTGTGTAATTATAAAGTTTTTTTTTCTTTTCATAACAATTCCTTAATAATTAATCATTAATAAAATTTGAAAAAACAACAATTTAATTAGCTATTTTAACAAAATGTATTTTTTTTTGCTTCTTTCAACAGATTCTTGGCTTTTTTTCTGTGATCAAAATTTATCCATGATTCCATTCATTGAAAAAAATATCAAAATTTGCTGATGAAATCATCAAATCTTTTCGGTCTTCACTGTATTGATCTCGTCTCAAAAAATCATCTCCGATTATCATTTTTTTCATCCATCATTATTAGCAATCATTATATAAGCATTCTTTGTTCTTCTCACTTCAAGAATTGATTAAGAACCGAAAAAGAATCAACCATTATGAAAAAAATTTTGAATTTAAAAATATAGAAGAATAATGATAAATTGAAGAAAAAAAAATTCTTACTAAGCAAAATTCGAATGTCATATGAATGATTATTATTATTATATCATCATTATTATCATCATCAAACATTACGGCAACAACAACAACAACATTGCTATCATTATCACGATCATCATCATCATTATTATTATTAGACACCACAAGTAAGCGGTTTTTTTTATCTGTTTCTTTTTTTTGACTTTTATTTCGACTGATGATTGTTTTGTCAGTTGTTTTTTATTCTCTATTTCAGTGAAATTCAAACACTATTTTCTTTCATTCTGTCTTTTTTTATCGATGTTTTCGGCCCTTTTTTTAAAAAACTGTAACTCATACGAATGTCGATCAAGTAGTTGTAGTCAAATGGCAAAGAGATGACAATCCATTGCCGCCCTCGCACATACAATTCCAATTTGATCTTTTGATTTCCGTTGTTATTGTTGTTGTTGTTGCTTTATCGATTTTGATGATGGCCATAAATCATCAATTGCAAATAAATACTTAATTTTATTTTGAGATTAGATTGAGCATTCTCTTCTCTTGTAATCGGTTTTTATTTTTGCAAAACCAAATTGAATTTTTTGTATAATAATTATTTCCGTTCATTGGCTTTTTTCTTTTATCAACATGATTACGATTCGAATGAATTGAATCATTTTTTTTAAAATATAAAAAAAAAGTTCTAGTAAAATATTCTAATCGCAAAGTCTATCATTGACATTGATACAAGGTTATTTTATAATTTCCGTTTTTTTTTCATGATGTAGTTTATCTTATTTTTATCATTTTCATATCGTATGGTAGAATTCGTGGAACGGATTCGTTGAAAATTTCTGCATAAGAAATCGATGAAATAAAGAAAAAAAAAATTCTTTGTATAGATAAATAATTATATCTAGACATTGTAATTTATTAGCTTAACATATGTGAAATATTGTTTGAAATAAATGTTCATTATTAAATAGAATAAAATTTGCTTCAGGTTTTTTTCTTCTTCATATATTTGCTGCTTTGAATATAATTAACTGCATCGTTTTTTTTTCTCATTACCCATCTATCCATTCAGCCAGCCAGCCAGCCATTTATTCCATAAATTAGATTTCTACTTTCTTTTTATGTCAAGAATCTTCATTGCTTAATAGCCAACAGTAACATTAAGCTTATTGAAAGTCAAAGTTATAGCCCCTAGAGATGTGAACCAAAAAAAGAAAAACTTGTTAATTGACCAATATTTGTGATGGCCTATTCATATCAGAAAGTTTATTTGAACTACATATAAAAAGCTTCAATAAACACATTCAATTTGATTCTAGTATTCTGCTTTGTTTTGTTTTTTTTGGGAAGTTTATTTTTCCCACATACAAAAATCATTTATTTCACTTTAAAAAAAGTTTATTGAAAAAAATATTCCGTTCTATTTTGGCCTTGTTTTTACTTAAATTTTATCTCTATTTCATCATTGTATTGTTATTTTGGTAATTATTCAACCATTCTTTTTTTTCAAAAAATATTTTTGTTTTTGAAATTTCATTTTCAATTACGTGTTAAACATTCTCAATAAGTTTGAATATTGCATGATGATATGCTATGCTAATAATTATATGTTTCATCAACATGTTTTTTTAATTGTTTTTTCCATTCACATTTTGGATTCTATTGGAATTCAGAGCAAAATTCTCATATTTAAACTTGGATATTTTCGTATAATGAAAGCGAAAAAATAGGAAAAAACTTGATATGAAACAAAGAAAAACCTGTTCCCCAATTGTTCATTAACCAACTTTCAATATCTAAATTTCTATAAATATACTTTCATTTTTTTCTTTCATTCTTTCTACTATTTATTAATATCATACTATTAATGATTTTGTTTGATAGTGATCACGTATTTTATCCATATTTTTTTCTCCAAATAACTATAACAGAATTTATGATTGGTGAATGGCTTTTTCTGTTTTTTTTCTATTTCTTTCTTTCTTGCAAAAGAAAAAACAGAACAGAATAGCTGCTGAATAATAATAATAATAAAAATGAATTTCCTTGTTTCACTGTTTTAGCTACTTTTTTTTCATATCACAAACAATGTTTATTATTATTCTGCTATATGCATTCTGTCAATTTTATTTCGGTTCGTTTACTAATTATTATAATTGGAAACCGAATATTAGAATCAAAATTGGAAGAAAAAAGAAAAAAGAAAATAAATTCTGTAATATCTCAAATAGCATATAACTTGTTCATTGTTTTTTATGATTATTCTATATATTTTTGGATTATATATGTGTGTGTTTTGATTTCAAATAAATTTGGTTCATATAAATTTTATCGAACCAAAAATGCTATCTGTTTTTTCTTCTCTTGTCTGTCTTCTTTTTGGATCTCTTCCAGGTGTGTCCTCATTGATGATGGTAATATCATTGGAATAATGATGATTATTTTAGGTAATTTGTTTGGTTGGTAATTTGAAATATACCACAAATATAAAAATTATAAAACAAAAAAAAAATACTTATAGATTAATTTATTTTCACCAATTATGTTTTGTCTTTATACAAATCACAAAGTCATATCATTTTCTGATCGTTGGATTTCAATTCAATTGAATATAAATGTTCTAGCCAGCCAGTCACGTTTATACTTTTTGGGTAATATATGACTTTTCTTTGCCCGATTCTCACATTCGATGGATTTTCCTGCTCATTTATTTTTATTTTTTACGGATCTTTTTTTTTATATGTTAACCGCGTTCCATTATCATTGAATGTGGTTCGGTTTGTTGTTACATTGATAGGTATTAGGTCCATAATGGTGGAACAAATTTTCATGTTTTTTTCACTCACTTTCATATGATGTTTGGAATGATATTGAACTGGAAAAATGTGTGTGTGTTTGTGTGTGTAAATTGTCCATGATGTTGTTTGAATTTTTTCTTTTTTTGAAAAGTATTAGAAATCCTGATATTCTTGTTATCGTATGTCATAAAAAAAAGTGAATTTTTGAAAGTAAATTATTCTCTTCCATTAACTCTCAATTTATATTTCAACATGACCAAACGACAAAAAATACGATAGTCAAGAGAGAATTCAAATCTAAAATTCTACTCTGATTTCATTGTTCAATGTGTACAGTCATTTAGCTGAATTATATAACTAATTATAATGCATGACTTTACATACACATTAATTTTCGCAAAAACAAAATGATCACAATGTTTGGACAAAACAGGAACTATTTGTTGTTGTTGTTGTTAAATTATAAATTTCATTCAAATCAACAACCGGGAAAAAAAATATGATACATCTTCAAATATTAATTTATAATTGATTTAAATTTTAAGTTTTTTTTTCAAAAAAAACATTTCCTTATTATTGAAATGATGATTATGTAATGAGTTATTCAATAGAGATCTTTTTGTATGTGTTCCAGTTGTATTTTTCATAAACATTTGGATGTAATTTTTGTTTTGGATTTCACTCACACCCAAACTTGCCCACAATTTTTTTTCTTGCAGTAAATGTCTTTGAAATTTATTAGTATTCCATTTTCAAAAAAGTTTTATACTCACGCACGCACGAATGAATCTTTTTTGTTGTTGAGTAATATTCCAATCTAAGATTGGCGTGTCTCAATCTTTAAATTGTAATAATTAGATTTTATGTGTGTATGTGTGTGTGTGTATAAAAAACTAATTGGATAGATGGATTATGGTCTTTCTTTCTTTCTCTCTTTTATCCATCCATTCATTCATTCATTCATTTCTACTTGTTTTCGCCTTCGTTTCATTTATCATTTTTTTCTGGTTTTGTTTTGTTTTTTTTTCATTTAAATCTCTTTGTATGTTTGTCAACACGATGATGAAAATGAAATCCTTAAATTTTAATTTTAATTTTTTTCCCTTGATGAAAATCAGTTATTTTTATAGCTTTTGATAATCATCATCTTGATTACAATTATCATCGTAAACTTTTTTTTTTTTGAAAAAAAAGATGCAATAAAGATTTTGAAACAGAATATTTTTCCTTTCATTTTTTACTTGTGATTGATTTATATGTGAGAAATATCATTTCTTTATTCATTTGATGAAATTTTTCGATTACAATTTTTCTACTTCTTCTTCTTCTTCAATCAATATTTGGATGATTGAACGATAAAATAATGACAATTTTTTTTCTCATTTATAATTAAATTTAACGGACCAGTAAATGGATGGACGAATAAATGAATGAATGATGAATCCTTTGGTTTTTTCCATTTCTTTTTTGTTTCTTTCATCACAAATTTCTTCTCTATTCATCATTCGATAATTTTCATTTCATCTTTTGAATTTCTTCATTTCATATTCTGATCTAACGATTTCAATCGATTGTTTTCGTTCGTTTCTTTTTTATCTTGTTCATCATCATCATCATTATTATTATGGATTTTTTTTCCTGATTTTATTCATTCAAGTATCCAACAGTGAAAACAATGATAATAAAAATTAATAGAATTTTTGAAACGACAATTTTTTTTTTGGTTTCACTTATTGAAAGCTATTGAATATCTCCAACTGTGAGAATCAAAACGATCGATTTTCATATATATATTGACTAAAAAACTAAATAGAAAAAAAACTATTACGATTCACAGTAGTTGATTTTTGGTTGTTGTACAAGAATTGTTAAGAATCTAAAATCAATAAATGAAATATCATGTTTTTTTCCATGATTATCTTGTATTTTTTTCTTGTTTTTGTTGTTATATCATTTATCCAAAAACATACGATGATGATGACCAACATATGTTTCTACAATCACCAAATATTATAAATTTTTTCAGCATAAAATAAAACTAACTGACTAACTGACTTGGCAAGAATTTTCAAATATTTTTTTTTGTTTGGATTTATAAGAAATGAATACATTCAATCTGTACATTCATTATTACTTGTAATCGT